GGTCCCGGTCGTATCTGGACATGAAGGATCGGGCTTGAGTTTACCTTCTATCTCGGTCTCAAACCCGGTTCTAAATTTCATCCTGGTACCAATCCCAGTCCAAGATAAATTCTAGACTCCATTTCTGTTTTCCGTAAAATAACGTTTTTTTCTAGAAAAATGATAAAATTTCGTATCATTACAAGTTTGAAGAAGTACAATATTCTAAAATGATGAAATTTACATACCTATATTGTGAAAACAATGGATTCGAGATAACGGATTATGTGGGGACTGATCGATTGGATAATGTGGGCCAACAATCACGTGGAGAAAATCTTGAGTATTGGAAAAAAAAGACGTGACTTATGTATGTGGTGATTTGGAGTTGAAAAAACAAAGTGAGAATTGTTAAGTTGGTGGTTGGTGGGTTGGTTGGAAATTTATTATATCATAAATGCATTTATTATGAAATGAGGGTAATTTAGTCAATTTACATGATAAAATAAGGGGAGGGGTCAGAAATCTGAGGTGAAGGGGTCTAAGTAAAAAATCAAAAGGGGGTCAAAAATCCAGAGTGGTTATTGATAGGGGTCAAAAATCCCAATTTCCCCACTTCTAACTTGTATATTTAAAGGATTGAATGTGGGATGAACTCTTTTCACATCGCACCTTTCACTTGAGGTTTGAATTCGAGAATTTCTCTCTGTTTTTTAATATTTCTCCTCGAACTCGGAAGTCCAAAAGATAATATTAAGCAATTTGAACTTTTTACATCACACCTTTAACTTGAACGTTCAAAGGGTTGAATTTTAAGTCCACCTTTAACATTCACATCGCACCTCGGACCCATGGGTTTAGAGGATTGAATTTCTTGAACCTTCCATATCGCACCTTTAACTTAATCGTTCAAAGGATTGAATTTTGGTTCCACAATTAATATTCACATCGCACCTCGACCCTATGGGTTTCGAGGTTTGAATTCGATCAATTTTTTATTTACCTTACCGGTTTATAAGTCTTATAGGAGACCGTGGCCCCCATTTAATTTCTGATCGAACTCAGAGTCACGAAATTAAATAATCCCGTTTATTAAAAGTTCCGTCCCTTGAAAATTTTTACAAGTCCATTTTAGGACCATTTTGATATTTCAAGGGTAATAGCGGTTTAGGTGCTCTACGTTCCATGGATGTGCAAGTACATTTCCTTCCAGATCGGCCAGCATGTATGTTCCAGGTTGGACTATGGCTTTAACCTCGAATGGTCCTTCCCAACTTGGGTCAAGAGTGCCCACATGACTTTGAATCTTCCTTAAGACTAAATGTCCAACTTGAAAGCTTCGAGGTCGAACTCGGGTGTTGTAATGTCTGGCCATTCTATTCTGATACTCTGCTAGGCGTAGCTGAGCCATTTCCCTTTTTTCTTCCAACAAGTCAAGGTTAAGGAGTAGCTCTTCTTCATTCTTCGTTGGCTCGTACTACTCTACCCTGTCTGTTGGTATGCCGATCTCAACTGGTACAACAGCTTCGGAGCCAAAGGCTAGTGAGAACTGAGTTTCGCCAGTTGACTCTCTCGGGGTGGTTCGATATGACCATAACACTTCGGGTAGTTCCTCGGCCCATCTTCCTTTTCTGGAGTCCAATCTCAGTTTGAGTCCTCACTTTATAATTTTGTTTATTGCTTCAACCTGGCCATTAGCCTTAGGATGAGTAGGGGACGAGCTGAGATGACTTATGCGCAACTTTTTACAGAAATCTTCGAACTTTGTATTGTCGAATTGCTTTCCTTTGTCCGTGACGATAGCGTTCGATATGCGGAAACGGCATACAATGTTCGTCCATATGAAAGATGTGACTCTGGACTCCGTGATGTGGGATAGCGCCTCGGCCTCGGCCCACTTGGTGAAGTAGTCCATAGCGACAACGGCGAATTTGGTTTGCCCTTTGCCTAGAGGCAAAGGACCTATGATATCTACTCCCCATTGCGCGAATGGCCATGGGGCCAAGATTAGGGTGAGCAGTTCGGGAGGCTGATGTATGATATTTGTGAAGCGTTGGCAATTGTCGCAGGTTTTTACAAACTGCTTTGCGTCCTGTTCAACAGTGGGCCAATAGTACCCTTGTCGAACCACCTTGGCCGACAATGACCTGGCGCCAGAGTGGTTTCCACATACTCCTTCATGGATTTCCCTAATAATGTAAAGGTCTTCTTCAGGAGTTACACACTTAAGCAGGGGCAGGGAGAAGCCACGTCGGTACAACGCTCCATCTCGGAGTATGAACCAAGCTGCTTTCCACGCCATCTTCTTTTGCTCCTTCAAATCTAGCAGCGGAGTTCCTTTGATGAACTCCACGATTGGGTCTATCCACGAGGGCACTGGAGTGTCAACCTGCATCACGTCTGGCTCCAAGATTGAAAGATTGTCCAAGATCTCAACCGGGACCGACCTGGCCAGGTCGGTTTTGTTGGATTGGTATGACAACCCTAGAGGGGGTGAATAGGGTTTAATTAACAAAATATAAACTTTTTAATAAATTGGCCCAATTTAAACAAAAATTATACACTTTTTGAGATATTCAATTTTAACAAAGTAAGATAAAATAAATTCTAAGGCAAACAAGAGAAATTTAAATCAAACAATCAAATTCTAAGATTAATTGCAAAAATAAATAAGAGAGAGGGTTAGAGAAATTTGACACCGGGAATTTTTATAGTGGTTCGACACAACTGTCCTACTCCACTTCCCAAGCACCTCTTGGGTTGTAAATTGAAATTCTGACTCTTTCCACGTTAGGAGTCAAACCGGTACACTGCTCTTCACAAGAGCAAAGACGATCCTCTCCACGGTGAGGATCACACCGTTACAATGAGTTGAAGATTTTGAAACACACACTTACAAACTCTCAAATAGAGTAAATATACAAATTTGAGCTCACAAAAATTTCAATCCTCACAACAATAAAATTGCTCTCACAAATAAGATGGAAAGAAAAATTGAGAACTTGGAGAGATTAGCAAAATGACAATTTTGAAGTTACGGAGGATTGGGAATAAGAGAATTGTTGTGTAATTTTGAATGAGAAGTTTAGTTTAAATAGAGGGAAGAAAATGGTAAAAAAAATCAAGTTCAAATTTAAACCATTAGATCTTAATCATTAAGAAAGAATGGTTGAGATAATTTAAAAAAAAAATAAATTAAGAATAATATATATATATATTATATATAATTAAAAAAAACTTGTCACATCTCTTTTATATATATATGTGAGAAAACGGTAAACTTTTCAAAAAATTTTTTTTTTTAATATTGACACTGCATTTAATGTGAAGTGAATTTTTTTTAACAAAGTTAACAACTGTAACTTTTGACTTTTTCTTTTTTATTTATTTTTTATTTTTTTAATCTTTTTCTTTTCTTTTTCAATATATATATATATATTTTAAAAAGAAGCTTGTCACTTGTTAACTTACGAACAGTCCACGTCATCTTCTCGGGTATTTTTCCTTCCAATTTGTTTCGATCGTAACTTCTCCGTTTGAGCTCCGATTTGGATGATCTAACAGTCGTTGGAATCGTTGTAACGAGCTCTACACTGTGGACACTTTAAAATACAAAAAATGTCAATAAATAAAATTAAGTTTGTTATCATCAAAACATTAATTAATTAATTAATTAAAATTAATTAATTTGAGATTAAGGCCAAAAAGCCAACAGGTTTCGTATGTTGACGCCAATTTAGCTAAGGCGTCTGTATTGGAATTTTCTGATCTTGGCACTTGATTCACCTCGTAAGTCTTGAACTGGGCGACGTGCGATCTGACTTTGGTTAAATACTTTTCCATCCGGGAGTCTTTTGCTTGATACTCCTCCTTAATCTGGTTTACGACCAACTGGGAGTCACTAAAGACCTTGATGTGTACGGCCCCCAGCTCTCTGGCAACACGCAGGCCTGCCAAAAGTGCCTCGTACTCGGCTTCATTGTTTGAGGTCCGAAAGTTGAACCCCAGGGCATACTGAAATCGCTCGCCACCTGGTGCGAGCAAGAGGATTCCTGCCCCGCACCCTTTCTCATTGGAAGATCCATTCACGTAGACTGTCCTTGGGAGATCGGCCCCGACCGATTGAGGCGGTGGGATGAGCTCCGCGATGAAATCGGCCACTGCTTGCCCTTTCAGTGCACTTCGGGGTTCGAACTGGATATCATATTCACTCAACTCCATTGCCCACTTCATCAAGCGCCCTAATGTTTCTGGTTTATGGAAGATGCTCTTCAAGGGCAATTTGGTAAGTACCACGACGGTGTACGCTTGGAAGTATGGCCTGAGCCATCGGGCCGAGGTGACTAAGGCGAGGGCCAGTTTCTCCATCTGGGGATATCTGGTCTCAGCCTCGGTCATGGCCTTACTGGTATAATAGATGGGACCTTGGCGCACCCCTTCCTACTTGATTAGGGCCGAGCTGACGGCGCTGTCTAACACCGATAGGTACAAGTGGAGCTTGTCTCCTGGCAATGGCTTGGCGAGCAAAGGTGTCAAGCAAAGATAATTCTTCAACTGCTCCAGTGCTTGTTCGCACTCTGCCGTCCATTCGAATGGTCCCTTCTTTCTTAGGACTTTGAAGAAAGGAAGACACTTATCTATTGACCTCGAGACAAATCTATTCAGAGCTGCAACCCTTCCATTGAGGCATTGAAGCTGTTTCAAAGTTTTGGGCACTTTCATCCCGAGCACGGCCTTTATCTTTTCTGGGTTAGCCTCGATCCCTCGGTTGTTTACCATAAAACCAAGGAACTTCCCCGAGGAGACTCCAAAGGCACACTTGGTTGGGTTGAGCTTCATTTGATACTTTCTTAGAACTCCAAATGCTTCGGCCAGATGGGAAATATGCGACTTTGACTGCTTGCTCTTGACAAGCATGTCGTCTACATACACTACCATATTCCGGCCGATCTGCTTGGCGAACATTTTGTTCACCATTCTTTGGTAGGTCGCCCCCTCATTCTTAAGGCTGAAAGACATAACCTTATAGTAATACAGACCTTGGTCTGTTATGAATGCGGTATGATCCTGATCTGGGACATGCATTTTGATTTGGTTGTATCCTGAGTAAGCATCCATGAAGATGAGCAGCTCGTGCCCTGCTGTTGCATCTACGAGCTGGTCAATCCTTGGTAGCGGGAAGCAGTCTTTTAGGCATGCCTTATCTAAATTTGTAAAATCTACGCACATCCTCCACTTCCCGTTAGCTTTTTTAACTAATACAACATTAGAGAGCCACTCGGGATACAAAATTTCTCGTATATATTCAGCTTTTAAAAGTTTGTTAACTTCTTCGACAATTACATCACTCCTCTCCCTATTTACAGGTCTTCTTTTCTGTTTTACAGGTCGGAATGACGGGTCTACGCTGAGGCGATGCACCATGATCTTTGGGTCGATGCCTGACATGTCCTCGTGAGACCATGCGAAGACATCCGAGTTGGATCTGAGGAAGTTGATCAGTTCCTTCCTCTCAGTGGCCCCCAGCTTAGTTCCTATACTTACTTGCTTCTCAGGACTAAAATAAGGAACAAGCTCAAGCTCCTCTGTCGGTGCAGAAAACTCCCTTTTACCTGACTTTGGCAGGTCGGCCTCGAGCTTCGATAACTCGTCCCCGTTAGCTTGTCCTTCCAGGGTACACACTGATGACCCTTTAAGCGCGGAGGTATAACATTCCCTTGAAGCTTTCTGCTCTCCTCGGACCGTGCCCACTCCATTAGAGGTCGAGTACTTCAGGACTTGATGAAGTGTGGAAGGAATGGCCCGGAACGAATGGATGATGGGTCTCCCGAAGATGGCATTGTAGGCCGACCTACCGTCGATCACGACGAACTCGGCCATCTGGGTTACCTGTGTATCATCTTGCCCAATCGTGACCGGCAAGTCAATACACCTTTCTGGGGAGACCGATTCTCCAGAGAATCCAACCAAGGGCGTTGGACTCTTCTTCAACTACGTCCTGGTCCATCCCAAGGCAAGATATGTTGGAAGGGACAAGATGGCGGATGCGCCTCCATCTACCAGCACTCTTCTGACCACGACGTGATCAATCAGAGGAGCAATCACAAGCGCGTCATTATAGGGCAAGTGGACCCCCTCCATGTCAGTATCGTCAAAGGTAATGAAGCAGGTCGATCTCTGCTCCCTGATGATGCACACCTCGCGTCTGGCTTCGCGAGCTAGTTTTTTTCTTTTATTTCCAGATTGGCCCCCACTTGGGCCTCCGAAAATAGTATTGATTACCGCTGGTTGGTCCTCTCGTCGAGGCGGCGTCCTTGAACGCTTCCTCTCTTCTTTCTTTTCCACCGAGTTAGACCTCGGTTTTCCCACAAACTTTTTGAAGTAGCCATCTTGAATGAGATCTTCAATCTGGCGCTTCAGTTCCCAGCAATTTGACTTATTATGGCCGTGATCGCGATGAAAACGGCAATATTTATCTTTGTTGCATTTTTCTGGGTCTCCTCAGAGCTTCTCAGGCCGCTTGAGGAGCTTTTCCGTCCCAGTCTCCTCAATGTTTGTAAGTATTTCAGAGATTGTGATGGTGGTCGGGGTATAACGTTCGTAAGGTCGGCTTCGGTTGGGGCCACCGTCCGACCTGCGATACTCAGCCCGGCTGTTGGAGGAGGTTGATCCCTTGTCTCTAGACTTGGAATCAGCCTTCCTCTTCTCTTGGCTAGGCTTTTTCTGATCGATCTGTTTTTCAGGTCGGCCAGTCTTGGTCCGGAGGAGCTCTTGTCCATCAATGACTTTCTTCGCTTTTTGCAATACTTCGGCGAAGGTGGCTGGAGCCTCCTCTCCAAGCTTCACAGTGAGGGTCTCATCGGCCAGGCCGGTGAGGAAATAGCACATGGCCGAGTCATCAGAGCAATGTGCGACCTTCAGCTGCTCTTCCTGGAACCTTGTGACGTACTCTCTAAGCGTCTCACCCTCCTTCTGTCTAATGGTGGCGAGATGAGTCGATTTCTTTCTGTCATAGTGCCGGGAAGAGAACTGGCTAATAAATTCTTTCCTCAGCTGAGAATAGGTTCTTAGACCTAGCCGATAGTCTTCGATACCAAAGGCGTGCGCTGCCGGTGAGCGCAATCTGGAAGGCGCGAC